CAATACAAATATCTCAAGTCAATATGGCATTGCGAGCAAGAGGAAGAAAAATAAAGAGCAGCAAAATATCAAAATGATTTCCGCTGACCTACGTTATGCATCCAGACCTTTGGCATCTCAGACAATTAATTCTCACACACACAGATAAAGCATGAAAAGGTTAAGGCTCTTAGGAAATCTATCAACCTATTAAACAATACTATTTTAAGTAATTTTCTTTCATAATATAATAATAATTTCTGTTTCAGTTTTTTCAGGTTTAAATTACATTTTTTAATTACAATTTTACATTGCAGTCTCACACTAATAGACAGAAACAGCTATAAACTAAAATATTATTTTGTGTTCAATATAGTTTATTTATGTAGCATGTTAGAATAAATCAGAGATCCATCCCAATCATACAGTAGGTCATATTTTATGCACTTCCTAAACTGATGGACGGATCTGTGGTTCAATCACACGTCCCAGACACCACAAATAACAGCAAATGTGGGGAAAAGCTTAATCACAAGTACAAATGCTTTCAAGAGCACAATCAGCGATACTGACATTTCGCCAAGGGGAAATAGAGAAAATAGCTGCCATTAAACATTAAAGGGAGTAGATGACAATAAAAATAAACACAACTGTTTCAAAATGGAAACTGTAATTGTTATTAGTATTTCTGCATTCCCCCACCTCCTAGTCTCTTAAGCGACCTCACTCCCCCACTTCAGGATGGGAGTATATAGAACAGTGAATGGCTGAGTTTCCTGAGCAGCCACAGCACATAAAATAAGATCTTTCCTGCCAGAGTTACCCTGGCCCTCATTTTCCCGTTACAGACGAATCGTGACTACACCTGGCCTTATAATAGTAAAGTGCCATTGAGCTCATGGTACTTTACTTGGCATCAGCAAAATTAGATGCTGCGTCATTCGCAAAGCCCTCAATTCCAAAATTGCCTCGAATAGACATCTAATCTTGGGGGGTGATGGTGTTCAATCAATCATGTCAGATGTTACAGAGCATGTTTATGTAACATGGGCCTTTAAATAAGGCAGAGCCACTTAGATTTAGTAGGAAAATGCTGACTAGACACTATTCTGCATATGTTTCCTGAGACAAAAGTTGTTGGGGTTGCCGAGAAGAGTCAAGGAGCTTACACCCATTGTGACCCACCACCATCGGTCAATTCTATCGTCCCTCACCCTGTTATCAGTGCAGGAAGAGGCAGGGCGGTGTGTCGGACTGTGCTATGCTAAAAGCACATGATTTCTGGCTTCAGCGCCAACATACGGCTTCATAGGCTGCCCCTTACCTTAAATAACTTGCTTATCACAGTCCAGAGCAATGTGACAGGGGATCATGGATAAACAGCATGATCTGTCATAGGTGTACATAGATACTCCGTGCCGCATTATGGCCTGGTTTAGTCGTCACGTCATGCGCCGTCTATATATGCATGCTCTGTGCTTTCATAAGAGATTGAAATTTGCCTATATAATAATTGCCGTAATACAACAACCATGACAGAACAATAGAAGATCAGGGTGGAACTTCCTGACCCAAAACAAACAGGTTAAAGGTCAAGAGAAGAGAATATATTGCAGATAATGTACTGTACCTGCTATCATGCTGACCAGATTTAGAAACATGTTTTTACAGCAGTGAATAACTAACTTGACCAGGAAAACAAAAGATAACACAGGACAACATCATGTCTAGTTTTTATGACTAATAGATATATTATACAAAACACTCAGAGAACAATTCATTCAGCCTTATAAAGTATTCATTCAAAAAAATGCGAAAGTCACTTTCACTTTGTCTAGAAATATAACAGTAGGAGCAAGTGACAAGTGACTGTTTTTACAAGTTTGTTCACTCAAATGATTCGTTCAAAACACTGTTGCATTCAAGGAGTATTGAAGTGACTTGGAATCATACTAGCATACTATTTTAACATATCGTTATATGCCATAAATAATATGCTAGTAGTAGCATTTCTTAATTTAGTAAATGTCTTTCAACGATTCATTGAATCATTCACTTAAATGATTCATTCAAAACACTGTCGCCTGGAATGAGCCCTGGGCCCTGTGCACTGATTTTGCTATGGGGCCCCCTCAAAATCACCTTCAGTGGGGGGAATCCTCTGGGCCCTATGCACTCTGTCACCCTTTCCCCCCACTAGCGACGCCCCAGAACAAAACACCTTTAGTGTCTGCTTGTTGTTTGGATATGCGCTTCAATGTGTTGTGGCAAGCAAAATAGACAAAGTGACTATCCAAAGTGTCAAAATGTAGATTATTCAATATTAGTGAATAGTGACGTCAAAATGAAGCTTTCTCACAACTGTATCGTAAAAAAGGTTCATTACTCGAAGCTTGTTGACATGGTTAACGTAGTGGTCAACAATATGAATGGCACCCACCAAACATCCCAGATAGCATACACTTCCGGGCCTTATCATGGGCCAACTATGGCACATATGGCTCAGTTCTGGCAATGGCAGAGGTCATATGGGCCAGATCTGGCCAATACACATCAAGCCGGTTTTAGTGTCAGTTCTGTCTTGTTGTGTGTGGGCCAGATCTGGCCTATGTGTGATACACCGGCTTTAGGGTGAGTTTTGGCTTGTTGTGTGTGGGCTAGAAATTGATATAGAATGGATATAGAATAGAAATATATATATATATCAAATAAAGATGTCCTGTGATATTAGTAAACTTCTTTATTAACTTCTTTCATAGCATATGCTGTCTCTTTATAGCTGTGGTTCTGCAACCAAATCTTTAATATATTTTAATTTTAAAGAAATAAAAGTCATTGTCGAAGTTGTTGGAGGAGTGCACTAAAACGAATTAAGCCTAAATAAAAAAAAAATAGCCTAAATAAAATCGGAGAGTTTTAAGTGTTTTTTTCTCTATAAAACAAATTTTATATATATTTTTTATTTTTTTTCATTTGCTGTGGTCATTTTCTGACAAAATCACCTCTGTGTGAGAAAGGCTGTTGAGTGTGTGAAGGGAGTGTGTCATGAGTGTGCAAGGTGGGTGTGGATGTGCTGTCGCAGGCGGGCAGCGCGGCTCATTATCAGTTGATTAGCAAGTGTTTTCCGGCCGCGAGTTTTTTATTTTCCAGAAGGAATAATATCTTCTAATGCACTTTGGCTACACTTCAAACAACCGCCAGGAAAGCTAATCTGCCTATTTTCCTCTTCATTCTTGTGTTTTGACAATAACGATAGCCTATCGCAACCTGTGAAAGACTGCTTTTCTTCCTCTTGTCTGATATGATTGATTCGGACCAGTCACATGCCCTCTGCTGACCAACACGAGTGACATGCGTCCACCCAATATTGTTCAACTAAACCAGGGGTAGGCAAGTTCGGTCCTAGAGAGCCGCAGTCCTTAGGACCGAACTTGCCTACCCCTGAACTAAACGTTTCTGAGGTAAACTGAAACTGAGAGGACAAGTCCTGAACATTGTCATCATATAAGTACATCAGTTTGTTAGTTTGAGTTAACATGATCAATGTCACAAATTTTGATTAGTGACTTAGAAATAATGTAGTATCTTAAACATTGCATATACATTTGCATGTTGCATGACATGTCTCTAAGAAAACATCTTTATATTTTTATTTTCTTTAATTTACAGATTTAAAATGACATGTGGAGTCCCATGTATTCTGTGGTCTCATACTCCGGTCAAAGTCAATGAACAATTTGCAAGACTAAATTGCTAATATTTATTTGATTAGAAAATTGGTTTAATAAATGCTAAATATTTGATATTTAATGTATCATAAATCTTAACTTTTGCTTGTCATAACGTCTGCTTAAACTCACTGCCTAAAATTGTTTGTTTCAGTAAAAGCTCTGTTTTAGAAGAGGAAATTAAACGGTAAACAAATCCCACTTTTTAGCTCAATCAGAACATCCAACAAAGAGCACAAGAAACAGAGAGAAAACAAAAAAACAAGACAGACAAATCATAATCAGAGGCCGGGATTTCTTTTTCTGCTTTAAGAGAAAAGAAAAAAGAAAAGGAAATGAACACTCGACGAGGAAAACGGATGGACGATATAGTGAGTGAGTGGGTAGGTGGGGGGGGTGTGAAAGCCAGAAAACGAGTGGTTTGCACTCTCCTGATGATGTAGGGCTTTTATCTGCCATGGGCATCCGTGAGGGGAAAGCACAGGATGGGTCAGCAGTGGCGTCTCTACGGGCCTGCTGACAGACCCAGGGCAAAATAAAGACCCTGATTAAAGCCGGGCGGAGGGACAGCTGGGGGAAGATGTATGGACAGACAAGCACACTAACATAAGAGCTAAACATAACCACCACGGCGCCATTAAAGCAGTGGTCAGGTGCTCAGATGGCAAGAAATGTATGCTGACCTCTACGGAAAGGTCTTTAGCAGATCCAGAACCAAAAATGGGTTTAAAATGACTCACAAATGACACATTGCTTGGAAAAACCGGTGTAAACACATTTATTGTTCTTTTCTCTGCATTTCGAAGGGAATGAAAAGAAATGGTTTGTCACAGTTGCTAACCTTGCCTTAAAGGATGCAGCTTAACATTTAAACAATTAAAATGTCAGCAGTTTCTTTTTAAAAACGAGCAATGCCCACTGTATTTTCTTTGTTCCCTGAAAGAATTCTCTAATAATGAAGTAAAAAAGACATCCATATAGGATCCAGTAATGCAGGACAGACAGTCTGTCATCATAAATCCAGTTTTTCTGAGCTGTAAAAAAGCATTTTGTGAGAATAGAAAAACACTTAAAGGGATAGTTCATCCAAAAATGAAAATTGTCATTATTTAACCTATGCTCACTTTGGTACAAACCCGTATGAACACAAAAGATATTTTGAAAAATATCTGTTGTCAGTGGGGGTCCAATGTTGTTTTAAAATGTCTTCAACATTCTTCAAAATGTTCCCAAATGTACACAAAATATCTTACTTTGTGTTCCACAAAAGAAACAAAGTCATGCAGGTTTGGAAACAACATGAAGGCGAGTAAATTGAGACAATTGAATTTTTTTTGGCGAACTATCCCTTTAAGCAATGATTCACATTCATCTTTGAATAGCTACATTATTGTAAATGATACTCAAAGAAAAAGAAAATCTGTTTTATGCAAGTATCATGTTATTAAAATATGGCTGAGGAAGAATCTGAAGGATAGAGATGTTGTAATGATGGATTTGTGGCACACTGTCCTCTACTGGCCACTGCTTGAAGGACATTTGTTTAAAAATTATGCTGATACAGAAGCAATTTCACAAATAACTGAATCATACAAAAGAATAAACAACAGTTTGATCAGCAAATGTGTACACCATAATACTGCACCATATGAAACGAGTGATTATCGAATCAAAAAGTCCACATTTATGAAATCATAGCAACTTAGTTTCCGTGAAACAAGAAATGTTCATGTGCATTGATTGTCCCTCTACATAGCTCAACCCAAAACATAAGAACTAACAAAACTTTGAACTTATTGCCCAATCTAGGTGTTCTTAATTGGGCCAAACATCTTCTTTTGGTCATCAGCACAAGTTTCTGGAAGGAGGTCAAGTTAGATTGTGTCGACGTTTCATAATATAATATTGCACATTAAAGATTCACATATTAAATATAACAAGGGAACAAAATCCCCAAACATTCACAGCTGTCTTGGCCTAAAGGTTGAAATCAGTCAGCCATTTTTTTTAAACATACATTTTAAAACCTAAACTCTACAAAAAGTGTATTTTACAAACTAGAACCCCATTTGTTTTCTCACAATGAACATCATCTTCAAGATCACGGTCACTTGTTATCCTTTCGTCCCCTTTCTCAGGGATCTTCACTTCATTCAGAAGCAGACAAACCCCGTCAGACTGGACTTCCAATGCCAGTGCAATAAGGACCCACAGAACTGAATTCACTGGATGACACTAAAAATAGTGATATACAAGGGGAAAGTGTGGGGGCCCACCAGGACAGAACTCAACACTCTCATTCCACCACCAGGAAAAGGAAACGTGGTCATGGCTGTGATGTCATCCTCTGAAATAGCTCTCCTGTCTGGACGCATGTCAAAGTCCTCTGTAGCCATTGTTTCATATGGCATTTGTTCAAGGCGTCCAGTGATTTGACATCCCTTTATTAAATGCAGCAATAAGCGTAAATATTACTACGCATAAAACTGCAGTTGCAGAATCCCACTTAGAAGGTCCCATTGGTCAACGTATATGGTTCAGGCACACTTTGTAAACATCTTTGGTGACTATTGTTTACCTAAAATGCACACAAAATAGCTCTGGTCCAATAGAGAAGCCACAGACTGGGACCCAGAACCTTCTCCAGAAGGTAAAAGGTTTCAGTAGCCAATGATATATCAAAAAGCTGATTGCTCTTCAATGAATCTTTGAGAGCCCATTGGCTAGGAGTAGTTTGAGGGGGATAGTTGATCGAGACACAGTCAGAGGCAGTCTGTGGAGACCTGGAGAAAGCAAAAAGGAGAGTAAACAACATGATCTAACAACCAGAAAAGGTAATTTTGGCAAAAAGCCAGTTGGGGGAGCAAAGAAAAAGAGATGCTATCTGAAGACGGTCTATGCGCGCAAGTGTGTGTGTGTGTGTGTGTTCACATTCAGCAGTTTTGTTTGTATTGGGCGGAGGGTGATGGGCGTGTGTCTTCCAGAAGGAGTTTGACGCCCTGAGGTCCCCAAGGAACCCTTCTCCCCTTCTGTCCCCACTCACTTTCCTGAGAGAATTGTGCTTTTTCTATCTGAGGAAAGAGACCTACCCATAGAGAAACATGGCCTGTGCGGGGAACACCTCACCCAAAGACTAACTACAAACACTGGCAAATGGCAGTGTAGCACACCCCTTGTCCTTTCAAGATACAATGCGTACATGCACAAATCTTTCTCCTCACACGCTTTCCTTGAGATAAACATTAGAATTAACCATTACGAAAGGAATGTTCTGGGTTCAATACAAGTTAAAGGGGTATAGACAGCATTTGTGGTGTAATGGCAAAATTAAAGGGCTTTAAAAATATTTAAACAGATTTTAAATATTACATGTATTGTATTGTATTTAAAGAAAGTTATTTTTTAAGAAATATATTTATATTTAAATTAGTGCTGTCAAATGATTAATAATAATAATAATTTAATCCAAAATAAAAGTTTTTGTTTACATAATATATGTATGTGTACTGTGTATATTTATTATGTATATATAAATACAAACGCATGTATATATTTCAGAAAAATTTTGTTTATATATTAAATATAATTTATTTATAATAAATTATATGAATATAAATATAGACATGTAAATATTTTCAATATATATATATACTGTACATGTGGTGTGTGTGTGTATTTAAATATACATAATAAATATACACAGAACACACACATATATTATGCAAACAAAAACTTATTTTGGATGCGATTAATCGTTTGACAGCACTAATTTAAATACATAAAAAATACACATATACATATATTTACACTCATATACATACACATACACGTATACATATATAAATGCATGAGAAATGCTATTCATGGATCATCCTTCTCAAATAAATAAATAAATACATAAATAAATAAATAAATAAATAGCAACTAACCAAAGGCACGGATGAGTTCTCTTTGCAAGGCCCATGTGACTGTGTTGATGAGGCAGGCGGACGTGAGTCCAGCAAAAAGCATATTGTACAGGAAAACAATGTGGAAACTGCCAAGCCAGTTATACCGTCCAAAGTCTCCAAGCAGATCAAACCTTGTGATTCCTACATGTAATTACATATACAATATAAAGAGCTTATAGTTAAATATTTTCCTAATTGTAATGCACAATGGAAACATATTGCTGAAATGTTGCTACTTAGTGCCCTCTTGTGGATAGACAAAACAGCATTACAAAACTGAACTGGTGATTCATAAAGACTGACAAGTGGCCCTGAAGGTATGGGATCAAATTCCTGCCAAAAGTATTGCAGTCACGGATAAAAAAATAACAAGTGTGAAACCGAAATTTTAAAACGGAAGTAAAAATATATTGCACAAAAATGAAAGCAAAGTTTTCAGAATAGCAAACAATGGTCACGGATCAAAAAATAATAAGTAATAAGTGTGTAAAAATATATTGCACAAAAATGAAAGCAAAGTTTTCAGAATAGCAAACAATGGTCACGGATTGAAAAATAATATGCGTAAATCAAAAATATGGGCAAAAAAAAAAAAAAAACACAAAAAAAAGTGAGAAATATAACCAAAAACATGATTTTGTGTGCAAGTCGAATAATTTTGCATGAATATTTCAGCTTTGTGCAATATGATTTTAAATGTGTTTAGAGTTTTGATTCATGCTTATTATTTTTAAATGCGTTATTAAATTTTGGATGTACGCTTTTCATTCTTTTTTTATCCTTGACCATTGTTTGCTATTCTGAAAACTTTGCTTTCATTTTTACATTTTGTGCAATACATTTATACTTGAGTTTTTAAATGTTGGTTTCACGCTTGTTTTTTTTTTATATCCGTGACTGCAATACTTTTGGCGGGAATTTGATCCCATACTGAAGTACCTATTTTAAAATTTTTAAATGTTTAAATAAAACAGTTAAATTATTTAGCAGAGTTTTCCCTGAAATCAGTGCAAATTGTATCTTGGCCTACAATAGACTTTAAAACCATGCCACTATTAAATATAATTTTACATATTAAAAACCTATTAAATAATGGCCAGTCATTTTAAAATACTTACCCAATGTGCGGGAGAAAACAGGCAAGGCTGAACTGAGTATTAAAAGAGAAACACAGTTCCCTATAATCTGTGGAGAGACACAAACAATGATTTAATTTGATTATAAAGAGCCATAGCATCTGAATGTGATATCCAGCACCATTCCCACAGTTGTTTCATGACTATGAGGGATCTCTGTACCTGTGTGAGGGTCGTGTCCTGTGCAAGTGGCAGCAAGCCGGTGAAAAGTGGAGAGCTGTAGAATCCAACGACAGAGGAGACCATGAGATACAAGATGATGACCACCTGCACTGCAGCTCCCAGAGAACCGAACATGGAGAATGAGGCAAGGCCCAAGTGAGGGTCCTGCAACAGAAAAAAACAACCATTGTGAGATTATGATAATAAATTATCACTGCAATACTCTATGGACTACTATTATAAGGCTTTAGTAGCACACAAGGCGGAGTAAATTAAATTACAAAAATGTCCTTGAATCTTTTTCCATTAATTACTTTTATAGGTCCATCTAATGACAAATATAAATGCGCTATTGTCATGCATCTCACCTCCATTCCTCTAGGCATAGCAGACTCATCGAAGAGCAGTTCAAGCACATGGAAACACACCATCAGCACAGACACCGCCTGAGAAAGACCATCAATATGGTTTTAGCACAAGGGTATAATCGTAGCCAGCATAAGTATTCTGTATTCCACAAGGTTTACTCTTACAGTTAAAGCTAAAAGCAGCAGCATGGCCACTGGGTATCCCAGGTTGCGTTGCCATGGAGATGCTCTTTTCCGCAACTCTATAATGGAAGAAACAAGGATGAAGCAAGAGCAATTCATGATAGCTAAGTGATGTTTTCAACACTTTGCGAGGCATGTTTGTACCTAAAGCAATGCGTTTGGACTGCACACTCAAAAGTTCATTATTGATGGCCTTTATGTTTGCACTGATCCAACAGGAGGTGTTACCTGAAACATTTGATAGAAAGTGTATAAAAATGTAGGAAAAATGTTTTGAAAATGTAAAACCTTGTCCAACTTGCCAGTAAAGCTTCTTTGGACATTAAAAAGAAAACGAGAGAAAGAGAAAGGAATCTTTAGAAGGTGGGGTCACTTCCTTAGCAGCAAATGTGTCTTTCTCACATCCTGACACTCACTTTTCAACTTCCTGGACAGAGAGGCCTCTTCAAACGCTGTGCAGTTCATTGTCTCTTCTAGGTTCTCCAACAACTTAAAAAAAAAAAAAAAAAAAAAGACAAAACTTCATACTTCTAATTCCTCAAATATATACAATATCCTTCAAAACATTCGGGGTCAGTAAGATGTTTTAAATATTAATACTTTTAATATTAATACTTCAGCAAGGATACATTAAAAGCGACAGTAAAGCAAGTAAAGACATGTATAATGTTAAAAAAATTATATTTCAATAGAATCCGTTCTTTCTAACTTTCTATTCATCAAAAAATCCTGAAAAAAAAATATATATTACAGTCACAGGAATAAATTATTTTAAAACATTCAAATAGAGAAGTTATTTTTACTGTTTTTACTATATTGACCAAATAAATGCAGCCTTTATGAGAATAAGTGACTTCTTTCATTAATTTTTTTTTACATACTGACCCCTGTGGCAATACATCACAATCAAAAGAAATTTTAGGAGGGATCTTGTCCACCTACCCGAGGTTTGACCAATAAGCTCCCAGTGACGCTAAACATACGTGAAAGCCCAAAGGGTGTGCACACTGTTACAAGACAAAAAAAAATGATGCAACAAATCTATATTTACAGAAAGTCAAATGCAATAAAATATCAAACTAAACATCAACAGTAAATGACTTAAAACAAACAATAAATTGAACCCACCAACAAATTATAAATAATATATACACTCAAACACACTTACACAAAAGCAGCAGAACTCCAAAGAGTGAGATTCCAGAATAAAGATGGGGCAGGTAATATTCCCACAGGTCTGAAAAGCACAAGAGAAAAAGCAGACTGTTACTAAAACTATTTGTTTATCTTGCACTTATTCAATTAAGAGGAAATTTGGGAGTCGAGCTGGCATTATAAACTGTCCTCTATTTAACTGAACACAATCAAAGAGACTGAACAAGTGCTACTCTAATGCTTCACAGCCTCACCATAAAGACTCTCACGGGCAGTGTTGTGATGGATGAGGGCTGATGCCACCCAAACAATGCCCAGCACCAGCAGACTGAGCAGCAGCAACATTACAGCAGTCTCATAGACTCGTGCCATAATGCCCTTTCAGAGGAGAAAACACATATCAAATGGACATCAGACACAGAACTGAGTTTAAATGTTCAGTATCTGCGTTTACTGACACAACTAATTACATTTGTACCTTTTTGGACCCAGCAAATCCTTCTGATTCAGTAAAGAAATAAGCAAATGGCATGAGGAAGACCAATGAAAGGTTTGAGAATAAGAAGACTAGGTTCCACAAGCCTGAAACGGAGACAAAAATGAAAAGTGACAAAATGATTTTGTACTCTTACCATATTAAAAAGCAAAAAAACAACAACCTGCATAATACACAAATGCACATTTGTGGTTACACTACTGTTCAAAAGTTAGGGTCAGTAAGACTTTTTATACTTTTATTCTGCAAGGATCAATTAAATTGATCAAAATGGACAGTGAAGATTTCAAAGGTAAAGATTTCTATTTCAAATAAATGCTGTTTCGTGAAAGTTTGTGAAATGTATCAGTTTCCACAAAAATATTAATAAGCACATTTTTCAACATCTGTAATAACAAGAAATGTTTCTTAAGCACTGAACCAGCATATTAGATTTCTGACGGACCATGTGACACTGAAAACTGAAGTAATGGCTGCTGAATTTCAGCTCTGCCATCAGAAGAATATTAGATTTATTTTTGATCAAATTTTGCAAGCATAAAAGACTTAAAAAAACAAGCAAATAAAAAACATAAAATAAACTCTGGTACTATACATAAACGATATTCAAGTATGGATTATATTGTGTGTTCAAAGAGGTAAATTGGTGAAATACAAACAAAAAAACATCAAACTAACTAACCACAAGGGGGCAACCATGTGCCATACTGACTTCAACTAGCTCTTCATCTAAAGTGCCAATAAGATTTTTGTTCTGTTTATTTCTCAGTTGGTTTGAGATTTCCTGGCTAATTCTATTGTGATCACTTACAATCCTTGCAGCTTATAAGATCTGGTGTTACAAGTGTACTGCAAAACACTAGAAAAGGCATTTCACCATACGCCTACAAACTTAATATCAAAGTGCAAATAAAAATCTGGATTTTAAACTAAATAGTGGCCTTAGATTTACAGCCAGAACATATTATACTCTTGGCAGACTTGCTGCCATGCCCAACACGTGATAACACAATACTAAGACCTTGTGGGAATAAAAACAATAACATTTCGGTTCAGATTGGGCAACAAAATACTAAAGAAGTTGTAAGTGAATTAGAATGGCAGCAGTATTGATTCTCTTTGAAAACCAGTGATATAGTCACATAATAATCCACATGTGCAAAGAAAACTAATTAGTTATTTATTCATGTGTGTGCGTGTGTGTATTCACCACGGATGAGTGAGCCATTGAGCCACTGCATGTAGTAGTTGTGTGGGAATGTGAGCAGTACTTCATTGGACAGGATGGAGATGGGCAGGAGCAGCACTGCACATACGGCCACTGAGAGTGTGAATGTACACAGCCACAGCCTGCAGAGTGAGAAAAACAGTCAAAGAAGGGTGAGGACGTGTTTTGCAGCCCTTTACTTTGACACCGTGCCAGCTGTGAAGGGAGGTGGTTGTTAAACGCCACGCTGGAGACCAAAGGGCAAACTGTCCCCTTACAACCATCGAGGGCAAACTAATAAAAAGCAAAACAGCAACCAGTAGGGTGCCCTTAGCAGCCTAGTTTCCTTAAAATCTGTGCGAATCACTGTGAAATGTAGAATTTTACTGCCATAATGTGACATTTCTGAGTGAAACAAGAATCAACCACTTAAGTAGGGTGGGAGCTGATTTCATGCATTTGGAATTTATTGGATGGTGAAAAGTGGGATGTTAAACACTTGAATGGAGCCAGACTGAGCTTGCTTGCCTAAACAGATATAGTAGTTGGCTATTACAGACCATCCAATATTCATGCTGCATACATTAAGCAATTAAGAAGAAAAAAAAAAGAACTTACGCAATTTTGTTGACAGTGGCATCCTCAATGTCATCTGTGGGCAAAAAAGGAAAAGGAAATAAGTTTGTCACCACAACATTATCCTACTGCAGACATACTAATGTCTAGACTCGCAGTTCAGTCTTGAATCTAAATTGAACAAAACAACAAGCTGCCACAATGACCCAGATATATCATGAAGCTATTCCATGAAGTAAACGCAACACTTTCAAACACTTATTTGAAAAATATATATATATATTTGTAAGAAATCTTGGGAAGCCTTTGCTGTTAGATTTTACATTATTGCTTGTGCAGGAAAACAAAAGCCGTTTCAAGAGGACTTTGTCTCATTAAAGCAGCACTATGTAATTGTTGGCGCTCTAGCGGTTAATAAACAGAACTGCACACATCCCGCGAAAGAACATTCCAACCGGAGCTACTTCTCTAAGTTTATGTCTATGGCGATTCACGCAGGTATGTGTTACTCCGCAGCGGTGACGACCCGACCAGGCTACAATAGTCCAAATATAAGTACTTATTATAAGTGTACCGTAGTGATTCGGAATAAGACAAAAACGCGGTTTGGAAGATGAATTCATGCGCTCACTTGCTCATTATATACATTTAGCAAATTTTCAACACAGAAAAAGATACATAGTGCTGCTTTAACAGGGATGGATTGAGAACATGAGGCAGAGAGAGTGAAAACTACACCTCAAACATTCGCAAGTGACAAGAGCAAAACATGCCCATTGTGACAGAGCTGCAGGGTAGATATGAGTGACATTTCCTGGGAGTGCTCCAAACCTAATTCAAAACAGGTTTTCTGCACATATTCTTCAAAACAGCCAATATGCAACTGTAGAAACAGCTTCACCAGCCCTCCACGATCGGTGCACATTTAGACTATAAAATGGACTTTGATATTTAGGTGTCAAAAAGACAAAAATATCTTAAGTGATTATGTTTGCTTCTTAAATTTGAAAATGTATGATAATGGCAATGGCTTGGCTTGAAGTTCAGTACACAATGTTCTTTAAGTGTGTCTAACAGGATGTTCTTACATCCCTCTGCACTATTTTTTTTTATTTGTGATCATGTAAGCATGGACGTATTTGAATGTTGTGATGACACAGGAGCAGCTGTGCTCATGGGGACCCAGGTTCAAGTCTGAACTGATGTCCCAGAGCTTTCCTATCAGCTCTCCACTGACCTATATAATAAAAAAAGGCAAAAAAGCAAAAGAGCATTCTGTCCTGCTTTACTTAGCTGTTTTGGACAAGAATGCATCCTGTGTGGACAGTTCCTAACAATCCTTCAACAGTTTAAACAAGCGTGATGTGTTTTGCACAAGTCAGACACTAGAAAAAACATCCCTCAGATTTTCCACTGAAAGTAGGTATAGCAGAACCGGGAAAGAGCAGAGAGTTCAATTATGGGGTGTACAGCAAAACATGAGGTAGTGTTCTCTTATGAAACCTCAGGCAGTGCTCGGGCAGGGGGCCTATGTTTATCTCACGGGAACATTCCTCATCCCCACTGCTGACCTCCCTCGATGTTACATAACTGCTATCAACAGCAATCAGAAGCTTTGACTCTGCTATTCTGGAGATGATTTCAGATATTCAAACAATAACACTGAATACTTCACTATCTGAGCATGACTGGGTACTAAACAAAGCATTTTTGGAAAGTGCAGGAGCATGACCATGTCAGGTTGTGCTGACCAACAAATGGAGAGCAGCTGTAGGTGTGCTTTGAAGGACTGGACTGCATGAAGCCAAACAACTGCAGAGGGTCCGGGGGTCACGATGAACTTACCAGTGACAAACTCAGCATTCTTCTTGAAGTGAGTGAGAATGAAGTGAGACAAGATGTACAGGCATATGAAAAGCAGCACGCAAATCTAAAACAGGAAATAGAAGAACATCAGTGCAATTTGAAAAATGACATTTACATTACATTTACAGACAACATGAAGTAATACAGTGCAGGCTTGTTATTCAAGAAGAATTTTAAAAAGATTAAGCCGATTTTAATATGCCAAACCATATCAATTTTGGATTTTCTTCTTGTATATAAATATTGTAAGATTTCTTTCTCTCATAAAGCTTTGGTATGACTTCAAAAGACACTAAATACAGTGCATGGATCCATTTTAGAAAGTCCTTCTAGGAACATTAAGATCCCTACACTTAGTCTCCAGCCAATTTCATTGCATGTAAGAGAGCAGTGCGAACATTCTTCAAAACTTTTCATTTCATGTTACATGAAGGAATAATCTCAACCTTTCTGGGAAGATTGGGTGGAAATGGCACTTTGCAGAATATCAGAGATGACACATTTTCACAGACATCTGCAGTATGAGTCACGCAGTTAATATTTAGGTTTATTTATAAACCTATTTATATATTTATAAATGATATTTAGCTTGTTTTGTTTAGGTCGTGCTGAAATCGCGTTTGGTCTCGTACTGTATCGCGTACCTTGTCAGTGTCGTGCGCTTTGCTTGGCCATTTGTTGTGATAAACAGGAAAGTGTGTCCAGCTGAATTCAATTTGAGTTTTGTTAAATTAATTTAAAAAAAGCTTAGTTTACCACGGCTGCGGTCGTGTGAAGGCCTCCTCATGTGAAGACCGAAGAGTGTAAAGACCATCGACTCTACCGTACGTCTCCACCGGGCAGGGACACCGGCAAAGGATAAGTATCGCTTTTTATTTCTCCTCTTTCCTATTACTTGTTTCGCATCTGTTTCAGTTTTTAATAACCATTTCTTACTATGTGTAAGTTGATGTTTTTTAGCATGTGTGTGTTTGGCTCAGTGTTATTTTTTAGGATTACTGATAAACTACTGTCAATTGATTTGTATTATTTGTATTTGTTATTTATTTTAATTTTAGTTACATTATGTCCGAATTTATTCTGTCTGTATAGGTATTTTATTAAGTTTTTAGTTTTATTTAATTTGAGTTATTTTAATACTTCAAACTAAATGGAAA